ATCGGACCGACAAGAATTGCATTAAAATTCGACACACATCAAAATTAATAATCAGCAAAAAAAAAAGCTATTACATTCTTCTCCTACGTATAGTCAGTTATATTAAGTATAAATACAGCAATTTCCACAGTACAACAGCCAGGTGTTTCTGAATATAAAAACCAGGAAAGAGCAATTATTTTTTCTAAATTAAAACGCAATAGTCCTTCGCCTTCAGAAATTCGCCAATCAAGAAAATTTTAGAGGTTTTAAAGAGAAGGGATAAACTGAGGTAACTGACAAAAAAAAGCCAAGAAAGGAAAAAGAAAGAATGAAAACAACTTTATTAGCTATATAACTTGCTAATAGTAGGCTAAAGTGTTGTAACCCAATAATTCATTAGAAGCAGTTTAAGAATACGTCGGTTAACAGATGCATAATGTACACTTTACTTATACTTCACTAATTTTGAAACAAAAAATTTTCAAATTTTTTTTTTTTGTTAGCAAACTAAAAACAACGACCGATTAGAAAAGTAAACGTCTAATTCTCTTTTGGTGACGAGGATGACTGTTCGTCATTCCGTCATCAGCAGAAGCAGCAGAAGCAGCAGTAATAGCAGTAGTAGCAACAACAACAACAACAACAACGATAAAGACAACGACAAAAACAACGACAACAACACCAACAACAACAGTAACGAAAGCAACAGCAATGGCATCGGGGGAAAAGTGGCCGAACTGAAACAGTCGACCACGGTGTTCAGCAGACCACACTAAACGGGTGGACTGGACCTGCCTAGCCTTAATAGTCACAATGAGCAGCAAGTCTGCTTGGCTCTTCATTTCAACTACAATATCACCTTCGTTTACATAGTTTTTTAGTTTTATTTCAAGATAAAATTAAAAATTTTGAAATTTTTTTTGTTGTATTTTTTTTCACTAGTTAAATTAATTGGGTGCAACCGAAGAGGTTAACTGTTCAGAACTTTGGCTTTGTCGTTTGAAAATTTATATCATCATAAAACTTCTGTTATACTTCTGTTATAATTGCATTCATTGTTCGTATAACCTATTTAAAACTAATACAGTCGTAGATTTGAAATAACTGATAAAACAAACGTCATCATATTGAGGATTTTTTTGTGCCAACTGATATGACAAGACTAGATATAAGACAAAGGTGAAATACTTCAGAAATGGAGAAAGCTAAAAAATGCATCCGTGAAACAATAGATATTTATTTAAAAAGGCAAGAAAGGAGGAAAAAATAATTAAAAATAGATTTAATTGCAAATAACTTCTCACTCGGTAAAAGTATAAACAAGTTTTGAACATTTTTAGAACTTGATGACCAGTAAACGTTCATATTTATTAGAAAATTTGGGTTTGTAAAAGGGCAGAAAAAGATTGCTTCTTTTTCTTTTGTCTCTTTTTAAACTGTCAAACAATAATAGTCAGAAAAAACTTAAGAAAAAAAAGATGTAGCAAACAGAAATGTAAAAATAGTATCATTGAGAAATATTAATCGGTATTTAAAAAAAAAAAAAAAAAAAAAAGAAATCCAAAAATATAGACAAACAGAGTTTAGCGAAATGTTTCAGTGCGTTTCTTTTCTTCACCTTTTTTTTTTTTTTCGTAGCCATTTATGGGGGTCATCAAAGACGCTCAGCTGAAAAATCACTCGTACAGCTCGTTTATAAAACTATGAACAAACAAAAATGAACGAATAAGAAAAAAAGACTGAAGAAAGAAAATTTTGGTTTTTTTTCTTTTTTCTTTTTTTTTTTTAAGTGTTTACTGATAGCTGTAGAAAGAAGCGGTTTTGAAATATATACGCATATAGCTATGCAGATTCATCTGAAGGATATGACTGTAAAACAAAATGTTTGTTTCGAGAAAACCAATTTTATTTTTGCTCATAATTACAATCAGGTTTTACTTTTTTCTAATCTTTTTCAAAACCTGATTTCTCAGTATTCCTTTCAACTCAATTTTTTATGCAGATCGAAGAGCTCTCGGAAATTACTCTGGTGACTTTTTAAACCGGCGCTCGACAATGCTGCATAAGGATTTTTTTCCCCAAAAAACTTAACAAGGAGCAGAGAGGAGGAGGAGGAGGAAGGGAAGAAAGGAAAGAAAGAGAAACAAAGGGGATTTTGAGGAAGAATAAGAGGAAGCAAAATGAGGAAATGAATTAGACGTCAGTTACGCACAAAAAAGGTCATCATCAGCATATGGGTGGTTATTGTGATGTCGACATTGTTGAGGTTGTAATGTTTGTAAAAGTGCGGAGGCACGAGAGGACGACCATTACCAGCACTCCAACCAGCCTCAGCCAACTGACCAGCGAAACCAACTTCAACCCTCATCGTCAACATAGTTGCCGTCGTTGTCGCCACCGCAGATTTTTTCGTCAACCTTTTGTACGATCAGATATATGGCCCCGGTACACTGGGCAAACAAGGAAAATGTAGTTTTTGAAAAAAAAAAAGATTGTCGCGTGAGGTAATGATGACGATAATGGTAGTGGTGAAGGTGTAAGCTGCGATTCATAACGACCAACAAATCGCGATAAAGTTTTCCTGCCAATATCTCTAAGAAATAAAACTCAAATTAACAGTCAAAAAAAAATATACGGGTTTTTTTTCCACTTATTAATTGAGTAACAGTTTATTGAAATGTTGTTACTCAGTTTTTTTTAAACCAGTTATATTTTTCAATAATTTCAGTCAACCAAAACGATTTATTCCCTGAAAGAGACATCTAAAGCCTACTTTACCTAGCAACACTTAGCTGAAAAAAAACTTTTGGCTTGGATTCTCGTAGTTTCTAATGTATTACTTTAAAGATACGAAAATGTTTGTCGCTGTTTACAGAAGAATAATGATACTGCTCAGTGGTGTGAATGCAAAGTTATCAAAGCCTTTATTATCGTCGTTGATAGGTGTAAAGAAACTTTTACTGAATTGTCAATTTCAGGTTGGATAATATATTTTTATTTGATCACGGTTCTTTATAAACATTTACAGCAAATTCTGTTTACTAAACAAAGGAAAACATTTGCTTTCTTCTTCGGTATGCAAATTGTTAAATTTTGTCAACTGTTAGGAGGTTACTACAAAAAAGCAGTATTTTACTGCTATTTAAATATTTAAAAGAGTTGTTAACTTTTCAAAATTTACAGATAAAACAGCAATAAATTTATCCATATTTTTTGAGGTACTACAAGTTTTGATTTTTTCGAAGTATGAAGAATGTGTTTTTTTTAGACACACAAACATACAAACAGTGACATTATACTAAAATACGCAAAATTGTCGTTTTTGGCAACGGAAAAAGTTTAATTCAGCGTTTATTTGAGGTAATTGCGACAGAATACAGCTTTCTGTCGTTCCGCTGCTTTCGTGAATACTGTTCTTCGTGATACTCAACTGTGGGAAACCTAAAATGTTTTAAAATTTAAGACTTTATCTTGTTTCAGTGATGAAACACTTTGTACATTATTTGTTCGGTTATTAGGTTTGGCTGAAAATTCCATAGCATTTATAAAGAAAATTACATATTTTTATTCTTCAAGAAACAGAATAAAAGTGGAGTGCTGCTGTCAAACATATAGTTGTTAAAAGAGGTTTAATACTCAAAGCAGGAATTATGACAAAATTTTGAT